GATTCGATCTCTTGGTTCTTGATGTTTATTGGTATTCTAACGTTGTTGAATATACTTGGTTATTGATCTTGTTTCCTTGTTGTATTGAGCATCAATGGTATGGTATATTATAGTAAATTTGAATATGGAATTCTATGATCTTAGCATCCTGTACGTAATTGTTTACTCGGTTTCTTGTAAGTCTCGGTTTGCATTTAGATGATGTCTGAAACTCTTTAATTGATAAGAGTGTATTATGTATGTTTATAAACATGTGCGATATTGATATGTAATACTTAACTATCTAACTCACTAAACGTTGGCTTACCATTTAAGTGTCAACCCCTCTCAGGAAAGAAGATGGATAAAAAGAAAGAATTCGTTGTTTGACTTGAAGATTTATCGAGGACTTGAAGTTTACCAACTTGTTTTTGGTAAATAATATCTTATTACCGTATCTCATAGATGTAGTAAGTGTAGCTTGTGCATAGTCTTGTTCCGGTTATAAGTATGTCCAGTATTTATTTATTTTTGCTACTAAATTCGGGTTGTAAGTAAAAAAATCCATTATGTCCGGTTTGGAATTGTGTTTTGGGTGGTTTTATCACTAAAATAGAACGGATATTTCGAAGTTTTTCTAGAAAATCAATATCCCGTATTTTGAGGTTAATCAATTAATTTTATTTTATTGGAGACTTTATAAAATTGGTAACTTGGGGTTTCTTAAGTGAGATGTTACAAATGTGATTCGATCATTTTCAATCCAAACAATTGTCATGCAAATTATTATTTAATCGAAATAATAATTTCTGATAATAATAAAATATATGTTATATAACTAGTGTTTAAGTCTAATATATATTTGATACATATTATTATTTCCATTGTTTTAAATGTACACTTAATTTGTTATGTGTGATATTAATTATATAAGTTTTATATTTTGATATAATATCTATATGAAATTACTAATAACTAACTAATAAAACTATGGTTGGTTTTAGGTTGTTTATTAGTTGATTTCTAACTGTATTGGTTATTTCCAAGTACACTACAAATGACATTTAAAATATTAAACAAAAAGAGGACAAGGTATGTGATGTAAGAAGTATGTTGGAAGACATGGCCTCCCATTCTTTCTTCTTTTCTTCCTTTAGAATCTATCATATATATATATATGTGTGCGTGTGTGTGTGTGTGTGTGTGGTGGTTCAACAAAAAGAAGATAATACATATTCTCATACTACCCTAACTCTTTCTAAGTTTTCTCTCTAAAATTCCAAGTGTTAGAGACTTTTGAGAAAGAGTTACTGGGAGAAAAAGTAAGGAGATACATACTTGGTTTTTATTTATAAGGTAGAGATAAAAACACACTAGTTTAGGTTGCAAGGAACTAGCATTAAAAAGGAGGCTGTTTGGTGTGGATCAACTTTGGAGGAAGAGTTTTTCTTCTCTACCAGACATCAACGTTCAAGCTTCAAAGATTATAGTTCTAAAACCCACTATGGTTGTGTTTTTCGTTTTTCTAAGTTTTTTAACGCATGAGATCTTTGTTGGGAGTTTTTATGAAAATTGTCATAGGTTTATTTTATGCTTCCATTTCTATCTTTAAAATGTTGTTTTAAATTCCCTACAAATACCTTCATATTTTGGCCATCGTCCAAGAAGACGAAGATTTTTCTAAAGCGGCTTATTACAGGTTCGAACGAGTATCTGAGTTCCATCTCTGTCCAAAGGATCATCTAGAGTATCTTCGTACTTGGCTGAATGAAGACCTCTTTGGTGAGACAATGGACCACATGATTCAAATGGAAATGCTAAAAAGAAAGAATCAAGGAGAAGATGTCCCTGACTGCATCTCCTTCAAAGATCTTGACTGAAGCCTTTCGATCTTGCAACTTTTTACTTTTCTTTTCTTTAATTCAGTGTATAGTCTTCTCTTCTAGACTACTCAAACCAATTGTAATCACTTGTAATATTTCTTCTTGAATGAAATTTCAATTTATTTGTTGCTTCACTGGAAAAAAAAATCCCTGAAAAAGAGTAATTGAGATAAGTACTTATGAGTTCCATTTCTCTTTCATTCGCCGACTTATCTCTTGTTAGTTAATATGCTTCCAGTGTTAAGTTATTTATGTTATGTAACTTCATTCTCTCACTTGTAATCTTTTAAAAATAATTGAATTTCCATAATACTCCCTGACATTGAAAAAGATCCCAAAAACAGTAAAAGGGACATGTATCTTACAAGTTCTTTTTCCATACTGTAACAACTAAACAATTTAATTTTATGTTGCTTTGTCATCATCAAATATGGAGAGATTGTTTATCCGAACTCTCTCATTGATTTGATGATAACCCTTTATACTTAGTGAAAAATACTTAGTTCTGTTTCGATTCAGTTTCAGCGATCATCTCTAAGTCTGTTCAGTGATCGCTGAACATGTATTGTAAACTTCTCAAAGAACAAGTATTCCTCAAAGACAAAATTCACACCAAAAGAACCTTCAACAGTGTTAAAGATGTAGTTGAAGATAGAGACAAACAGTTCATGATTTGAAGCGGATTCAGTGATAACAAGCGTGTCTAAATTGAAGTGTGAAATCTGATTAAGACTCAGCAAAAACTGAAGAAACTCTAGAGTTGAATCAGTATCAGCGATCAAATGAATCTTGCTCTACAAGATTAGTTTTTGTCTTATCCTCTTGCATGAAAAGGACAACTTCACACCTCACACGGAAAAGCACATGTATGGAGTTACTATATTGTCTTCAAGCGTGCTTATCTACTTTATGAAAGACAATTGTTCATATGCGGCCAAAAGCCTGCATATCTGAAGACAAAAGGACAAGATCTCCACTAGAAGTTTGCCACGTGGTTTGTACCATCTAACTTGCATTAAATGCAATAGGTATAAATAGCTGAGAAGAGCACTTTCTTTCTTGCTCTCTTCTTTCTCGTTTTTATCTTCGGTGCAACATGTGTGCTTCTAAGATTGTTTAGATAAGTTCTTAATCTTATCTTATTCCACAACAATCTGTAAATTCCATGTTGATCTTCTCTTATTAATAAATGATATTTAAAAAAAAAGGAAAGACTGTGTGTTTGTATTCATCTCCCCTTCTACAAAATGTTACTTTTAAACTCTTGCAGATCCGTTTGGGACCAACATAGCATTGTTTTAAATATTTTTATGACATTCAATTATGTTTTTTATGCAGGGTATGTCCGATTCATCAATTCTTGCCTCCTAATCAATACGAGAAATTGTCAATTCACACAAAATTCATGATAATAACCAAAGTTCTTTTATAATAACTCAAATGAGATGAGGACATTTCACAATGATAGTTCCTAGATTTATTTATAAGAACCTTACATTAGAGATACTATAAACATTTAGAAAAATAGCCCTTCAATTAAAGTTGATTCATTGTTTTCCCATTAATTCTGTTTGTTATACCAAAAAGTCTACATTAATAATTTTTCCTATATAAAGTATCCTAAATACATCGAGTAAATTATTTTTTTTCATCCCTGTAGAGTGATAAAAGTTGAAGATTTTATCCTTGTAGTTTTGAAATTTTGATTTTATCCCTATGGTTTGTACTTCATTCCTATTTTCGTCTCTGAAATTGTACTTTAAGTATAAAAAGGTTATATAAAAATGAATTTAAACGGTAGGAACAGAAAAACTAAATTTTAAATCATAAAGACAAAAAAATAATGAATTATAAACTATAAAAATATAAATCATAATTTTATTACCACTAGTTGGGTACCCACGCAATGCGGCGGGATGCAAAAGTTCTATTAAAGATAAATTCAATTTTTAGATACCACATAAAGTTGGAAGCGACATAATAAAATTGGTGTTGTAATCCATGAAAATGCAGATTGAAAACAACAGTAAAAAGCAAATTCAGTTTTTGAATAATATTTACATCTCAAGACAATATGTCATTAGAAACCACTGTTGCACCAACATATATATAATTCAAAGCAGGGGTGAGTAATAATAGTAGATCAAGTTTTAAACATCTTCATTATTATCCACCAAATCATCGTCCACATTTGTTCCAACCATCAACCAACACTGGTGCCATTGATTTTATTACAATTGTAGGTGAACACAGTTTCGTATGTTCTCGTCAATCTAAAGGACTGAACCACTTTGGTTTTGTGAGAATGTTGAACCACAAACCCACCAAAATCTTTCAGTTTGACTATCCACAATACTCAGTGGTCTCAATATTAGAGAGGTAGTTTGGGCTTCAGTTTTGGATCCTACCTTATACATTTTAAATCTACAACCTTCCGATCGAAATTAAAGTCATCAAATCCAAATGATTGTTTTAGTATAATTTCAAACTCAAATACTAATTAAATTGAAATATTACTATTCATGAGTATGGGACTTTGGATATTACATTTTAGGTTTAATTTAGACTTTATTGTAATATTCAACTCATGATTTTTTTAACAGCATTAATAAGGAATTTTTTTATTAGGAATATATTATATACATAAAGCAAGTATAAATAACATTATGACGTCAATCTCTTAAAATTAATGGGTTGTGAGCAAAACCAAATCTTCATCAATAGCGAAAAGATCATGCATACACTCTTAATGAAAGCTTGAAAAAGGAACAAATAAATATACAGAATTGCAAAAACAAAAATGAAATGATGGCCATGATGAATATACACATAGAAGTCAACAGAAATTGATGACAAAAATAAACTTTAAGAAATCTCCAGATCCCCAAATAAGTTCAAGCAACTTCATTTAAACATTAAGGAAAGCTCTTACATTTAAACATTTGGTATTATCATGCATTTGGCATCTATGTAGGTACGAGTTTAAAAGAAAGTTCTTACATTTAAACATTAAAGAAAATAATAAGAATCAAAACCAATCAACAATTCATGAATATAACCCGACTATTCGAGCAAATGTTAGTCTCTGCTCCAGCTAGTAATAGTTACCGATACATCTTCACGTTGAAATACATCTTCATGTTAAATTTTCTGGACTTCCACCAACTACAAAGGTTCAACACCTGAACACGATAAATCCAACACAACATCAACCAATGTACTCATCCATCATTTGAAGAACACATGAAACAATATATTATATGATATGAGAAAATGAAAAGATAATAAACATCATATCCAAATTTTTGGTTAAGTACATCATTCTTGAGATAGGGATTTGCCTAAATCCACTGCCAAATCATTAGATAACTATAAGTAGTATTGTAACAATCAGCCATTTACTAAATGTTTACCAAATCCTGGGGCATTTATACTGCCGAGATTTCAAAAGCCTTTGCACATAAACCAAATCAAATCATGCTCAACAAAAAGAATGTTAGCCCATCATTCATCAAGCCACAACTTATAAGATCTATCTTCTCTGAAATCCAAAAATAGAAAATTATGAATAAGCCTACTCGGAAAGTCTATCCCTCAAACAATCAAATTGTAAAACATGAACATGTGTATAAACCCAACAGAAATGAAAACAATACTATATGGACTTCATAGAACCCAAATACACATAACATGTATGTTTTGTCTAAAAACATTTTGGATTTCAAAAAACAATTTGGATTTCCATCCTGAAATGTTTCAAGTGTGCCAACTATGCAAAGTAGCACATATAGATAAAGACGGTAAACCATTGGGACATACATTTACACACACAAACACTTAATAATAAATGTACCAACAATCAAAAATTGGAAACTGCAACAAAGAAAATGTATCCCAACCTTTACTTTGTGACCTAAAAACTTACCAAGTTTTCTTCTGGTGGAATAAAAAATGTTGTAAATCATACACACCAAAAATAGATTATTGTAATCTAAGAATACTATGTTCACATAAAACATAGGCAGAAAAACTAACAGGAACAATTCAATAGATAAGAACTAAAGGAACAAAAAAGACTCAAAGATAAGTGGTAGTAGACCAAATTTGCGATTCCCCAACCCTCCACCTGATGATTATGTGCATTCATTCAACAAAATATAGCAGAAATGACACCACTCTTCACCATAGAGCACATGGTTCTTAGTTCTCTAGGAGGATCTGGTCAAGCTTCTGTTCACTTCCATTGTAGTCAAACCCTTATAATACTTTTCTAATGTTCAAAATATGAGGGAAAAAAAGCATATTAGGATCACTTGGGTTGTTTTCATGGTAAACTACAAAAAGCCTTCCCAAATGTTGCATCATTTAAAATGCCTCCAAAAGCAAAGTTTAACGGAGCAAGAAATTATCAAAAGATGTACAAGAGAAAGTACTTCTATAATACATGTAACAATGAACACATTTGTTTTGGAATAAGCCAATGACAAAAGATTATTAAAGTTCAAAAACATAAACAATAAGGGTAAGGATTTTTTAAGATCCTTATCCTAATGAAGATGACTATATCATATATATATATATATATATATATGGGTTAATCAATATGTATTGTTGTATATGTTTAATCAGAATCACCGAAGCAATTTTTGTTTGATTGTCTTACTTTTCAGCAAAAGAGACAATGTACATCAGCTACGGTTTCAAATCGCCTCTGTCATGTTAAAATATTATAGCAATTTTATTTCAGAAAACTACCATCAAATAAAAAATAGACAAAATAGATTGGGTTCATACGAGTCCGCAGAAAGAACACACCAGCAGATAATTGGAGAGATTTGGCAGTCTCTTTTATAAGCCGAATTTTCCAAGAACAATGTCAGAGAGACTTGACAGATTAGCCTAGTGCATGTATGATATGTTTTAAAGCTTCAATGCACAAATACCTCCTAAAATGTTATACAAAATCCATCTTCATAAAAGCACCAAAATGTGAACAGTTCAAATATCAATCTTATGAGAATCCTACACTTGTTAGCCTAGTGACTTGTGGGATAACCCATAACCCACCTTTGAAATGTTGAATCCTCATCTACAGAGAACACTATATTTATTTATTTCCAGGAATGATCACAGAAATGAACGAGACTGTGTTCTGGGTACTAAAAAATTCTTGATTTTGAAAAACAAAAGTGGAATTTAATACTTTGAAAGGTTGTTGAGAAATTATTTAATTCACATTCATGTGTTTGGATAGGTACCAACTCATTTTGTTGGTGGTGAGGTCTGTATAACTATGAGCTTGGAATGGATGGCATTGACACTTGAAATATATGTTCAGACGCTAAAACTTGGAAGCATCATTGTTCTTTCTAGTGGTTCACAACATTTTCGCTCTATTATTTCCCTTTCATGACCTCTCGAATATTCAGTAGAAGATACTGAATTTTATACTCTATTTAACAATGCTCAACTACGCACAACCAATAGGTGTAAATTTTTGAGTTTGTTCAGTCTGTTCAATGTATCCTAGGATAGCAACAATTTCATGATTATCTATATGCTTAAATACTATCTTAACCTAAGGTCGCAAATTCCAGTTGGAAATAGGAGAAATTAACATGAAAAGCACATGAAATGGAAGAGAGGCTTATACACTAGTAGCAATTCTTGCCTTTAAAATACTAAAAATTGAGTTGTTAACCAATTACTTCCATTAACATTAATAGCACATTAAGTTGTTAATCAGTTACTTCCAGTCAAAACCATAATTTACCTGGCAGTGATTAGCGATGTATCTCCAGCAGATACATGACCTGCACTGGAGATATCCCAGAATCCAGGCGACGAATCCTTGCAATCGGCACGTCGTTGGAGAAGAAGTTCTTGTGTACTTTCAGCAAAAATCCACACATGAACAACTCGGTGATAATCCCCCTCTCTGTGCACAACACTTCTGTACAAGGTAGATACAAGAGTTATGTAGTACCTTTCCTTTAGTATTTAAATGTTTGACGAGAAATAAACAGATAAGATCTCTCTCTCTCTCCCTCCCTCGACTTCGAATATAAACATGTCATCTCAAAATATTACGTACAGTTAGCATTTCCAACTCCTCTAAATAGTCCAAACCTTGAGGATCTGCTCAACTGGCAAACAGAGGCCAGGCTTTAGGGCTCCTCCAAATTCCATATGTCACTGAATCATCGTCTTGAATCTGAGTTGTAAAAGGGAATCGTAGTATGAATCGTCACTGGTGGGTATGAATACGAGTGGTAAGAAATCAAAGAATGAAAATGGTATGAGAAGAGAGAAAAAAAAACCCTAAATCGATGGAGCACAGGGGCACGTGAAGTAGCAATAACACAAATAAGACCTGCATCAAAAGTTGAATCGTCGTCTTGGAGAAAAGCAATCGTCGCCTTAGAGAAAGCAATTCGCCTTGAATCATCACTGGTGGCCGGGTGAGTATGAATCTGAGTGGTAAAAGTCTTTTATGTAACTTAGGTTATTAAAGTTGTAATTAAGACTTTTAAGGCTTTAGACTGACAAAGGTATCTTGGTCATTTATAATTTTAAAACTTTTACTGAATTTGACTATATATAAAAACGAAAACAGAAATTTTTAACAAACACGGGAAGTAAAAAACGTAATTTGTAAACTAGTTGTGTACCCGCGCAATGCGGCGGGATGTAAAAGTTCATTAAAATCTATTCAATTTCGAGATATCAAAGTCTTTCAAGATGTCATAAAGCCTACAACATTTGTACTTATATTTTTCTATTTTTCAATACTTGTGGTTGCAAAAACCTGCTACAACAAGTGTGCATGTAAGAAAAGCATGTGTGGGTGAGTGTGTAAGAAACAGAAGAATGGAATATACAAAAAGCATGTGTGGGTGTGTGCATGTGCGAAAAGCATGTGTGAGTTTATAGTTTAAAAGCACCATGTGCTTGAGAATTAGAAGAATGGAATATACAAAAATTGATGAGGTTTTAAAACAAGAGCATGGTTTTTTTATAATCATTGTCTGCTCTTTTAAGTTTTTACATGTGAAGTGCATATCTTATTGGCCTGAGGATGGGAGGTCTTATGTGGCCCTAGGAATAGTATAAATACATATGCACACACACACATCAAGATAAGTATATATATATATATACACACACAGAGACACATAAAACAGGTTATAAAGTCAGGTTGTATATAAAGTTAAGCACATACTGTAAGCAGTAGTTCAACAGGTTATGGAGTTACAACAGAACTTCTTAGACCTCTGTATGCATTACAGCAGCAGGAGGTTCTTTTTGTACAACATGTTCTAATTTTTTATCATTATAGCAGGTTTTTATCATTTCAAAATAACTCTAGGTTTGGATATTATGTTTTAAGAAAAAGCACCAACAAATACTCACTTCAAAATAACTTCTAACATCCAAAGCACCAAGAAATACTCACTTCTATAGGAACATATTGCAAACAATAGAGAATGCAAACAGTAGGGTGGATTTGTTACTGTTTGGACATATAGTGGCTTTTTGGAAAATGGTCTTTTAAACAGATTGTCCAAATGGTCTTTTGTGTTCATGATTTTCTGATTTGCTGCTGTATCATGTATCCGATTTTCTGATTTACTGCCTATTCTACTTCGTTTTGGCACACTCAAATTTAAATAAGCAAACAACCATACACACCTTGGCAACCATACACATATAGGGATTGTTGTTGGCAGGACTCTGTGAAGCACATAACTCAAAATCGCAAGTTGCTTTTACCGGTTAAATATAACAGCAATTTCCAATAAGCTCTAAGGGAGTAGTTGGTTCTTTTCAGGAAATGGAAATGGAAATGGAAATGAGAATGAACTTCACCCACCACCCCCTCAAAGTTTGTTGAGGAATGTTTCATTACCCAGTATATGGTAATGGTTCATTCCCTTGCATCAAAGAAGACACCATTAATTATTTCAATTTCCATTCCCCACCCCCTATTACCCCAACTAAGTACCCTCTAACAAAAATATATTTGTTGCTTTATATTATTTACCTCAAGAGTGACTAACAAAGCAATGATGTCAATCAACCTGATGCCTTGTGCTGCTGCGCAGGTAGAGAAGCTGCGTTGACAATCATCTGTTAATGTTATGCAAAATAATGTTAAGAATTAGATGATGATAGAGCTGTAATGGAGTATTGTGCCATATATCATCAATAGAAGTAATGCTTACCAGAGTTTTGCTTCAAGCCCTCAAACCGTTGTATTGCTTTAGACCAAACCGTTGTATTGCTTCAAGCCCTCAAACCCAAAACAAAGGGGAAAAAATTAAACCCTAAATTAAACCCTAAAACCCAAAGCAACCTTGAATAAAATCAAGAATGAAATCGTACCAGGGGCGAAGAATGAAGAGATGCAGAGACAGAGCGAGAGATGCAAAACGAGAGCGAGAGCGAGAGATGCAGGGCGATTGAGGGAGATCATTTATAAGTCGCCTGAGGTAGAGAGAACCAAATAGAGAGCATGCGATAGAGAGAACAGACTTTGGGTAGAGTGCGATAATGGTTTAGGGAGAAGAGTCGTGGAGAGCATGCGAGGAGAGTAGTGGGAAGCGTGCGAATCTGGTTTAGGGAGAAGAGTCGTGGAGAGCATGCGAGTAGAAGAGTAGTGGGGAGGGGATGGGTGTAAAGGCAGAAAGGGTATTTTGGATATTAAAAAAATTAAGACTAAACTTTGAGTATAGATGTTTAATAAGGTAGTATAGATATAGATATATTCGAGATGCTCACGGAGGGTTAAGTGACCGATCCTTTTAATTAGAACTGGACCGGTGTGTTACGGTCATCGCTTTTCTTCCTCAAACGAAAGGGCGGGAAAAATACTGCGCGAGTGAGAAGGATGGCTCCATTGTTGCAGAGCTCTCAACCTTGGGTCGAGAAATAGTAACTCATATTCTCCCTAATCTTTCTTTTTTCCTTCTCAAATTATCTCTGTTTTGTCACTCAGAAATGTAAATTCTTGTTCATGCATTTGTGTAAAATCAAAATTTCAGCCGACCAAGGCGAGTGAAGGACGTTGCCCACCAAGACGAGGTTGTCCGAGTCCTTACCAACACGCTTGAGACCACTAATGTAATGTCAACCCTTTAATCCGCTGGTATTCTTGAACAAATTTCGTTAGGGTTTTCTATTTACTTGCTCTTAGATAGAGTTGTATACTTGCCTGTTCGACTTTGTTTCCTATTTTTTCTTAAAGTTGATTATGAACTTGTTCCATTCAACTATAAATTGATATTAGTTTTGAACTTTTGGAGGGGGAAACGGACATTAAAGTTTGTAAGTGGAAGAATAACGTTAGTGTTAATTTGCAACGGTATTGCTATCAGTTTCGAAATTGAAAGCAGTGTGTCTTAAATTAAAAATCCAAGGTTTTTTCTTTTGAATTGATGGAGCATCATAGTTGGAGGATGAGGTGAAACAATGGAGGCATTTTATTTTTATGGATGATGCGAATTTGTTGTGCTTTCTGTTCTTGAATTGAATTGATTTGTTGGTGCAGTGTCCCCACATGCTGTTTTATGGCCCTCCTGGAACCGGCAAAACTACCACAGCCCTTGCCATTGCTCATCAGCTTTACGGGTACCTAAGACTACCTGTATTATAAAGTTCTTTTTTCCTTGATTGTTTTTACTTTTTGCATCTGATTTTAGGATTCAATGTTATTCGTTCTGATCTTCTTCGTAGATGATGCATTAGCTATGATGATAAATAGGTTGAATCGAACCACAACATATTTGAAGAAATGTCTTTCCAAGTAATTGGACACTAGGGTCTAGTCTAGAAGTGTTGAAGGAAAAATTAATAGCTTAAAGAGGCCAAAGAGTTTCATGACAAAAACCTTTCTCACATGATTTGGTTGCACAGTTAGACATGCCTTGTGAAGTCACCTACATTTGGCCAAAGTACCGATTCATCATGTTGAGACTACATTGGGACCCTATCTTATATTGTTGCATTGTGCCGAACCCAAGTTTTAGCTGAACATTTTGGCTAGATGCAAATGGTGGAAAGTTTAGTGGTGTATTCCTATCTTTATTTAGAATTTAAGAGCGTTAAAAGTTAAAACATTCGCACTTTTAGCTTTAAATGTGGGTTATTTTTGTGCAGCCAAGGAATTGTTCTTAATATTATGTCGTCTTCGTCAGGAAATCATCTTATTGTCTTGCATAACTGTATAATAAACCATTTTGCACCAATGCTAACTTGTTTTTTTTTGTATCAATTTGCTACCGCCACTGTCTCTTTCCTTTCACAGTCCTGAACTATACAAGTCCAGGGTTCTCGAGCTCAATGCTAGTGATGATCGTGGAATCAACGTTGTTCGAACTAAAATTAAGAATTTTGCAGCAGTTGCTGTTGGTTCTGGTCAGCAAGGGTATCGAATCTACCCCCTCCCCTCTTTTGAAAGAAAAAGACAGAAGAATATGAAAAACAAAAACAAAAAAACGAACAACATGCATGTTTTTCAATTCCTTTCGAGTTTTAGATGAGTGCCTCACGGCTTTTAAAGTGTTGGTTCCTTCACTCCGATTCCTTTGTCTTCTTTGATGTAGGGGTTACCCTTGCCCACCTTATAAAATTATCATCCTTGATGAGGCAGATTCCATGACCGAAGATGCACAGGCAAGTTCCCTACTTTTTTTCTAATTATCTAGTAGTTACCTCTATAGCAGCTTAAGTACTTAGGCTAGGGAATGGAGTTGCAGTTCTTATCCCATAGTCAAAATTCAGAAATACGAATTGTCCCTGTTTGATATATATTATTGAATCACTTTTATATTAACTACTATAAGAAGTTGAAAACTTCACATTTTTGAAATGATTGTTTTTAAGACGGTTAAGTTGTTTCTTCTTGCAGCATCAGCATCTCGTTAGAAATACCAAGCACGTTAGTCTCGATATAATTTTGTTCTTGCATATCTTGTTTTTCAAAAAATTGGGATGGTGTTTCCACTCTTGTAATGCAGCCCCATTGGTCCATATATAGAATAAAATATTGAAGTAAATATGTTGTTTTCTATATTGCAGAATGCTTTACGTCGTACTATGGAAACCTACTCAAAAGTAACAAGATTCTTTTTCGTATGCAATTACATCAGCAGGTCTGTGTTCTAAAAGTTCTACGATATAATTCCTTTTCTTCAATTTTGTGGATTATTTCTGTTGAGCTTGTTTTCTACTTCATCTCTCTCTCTCTCTCTCTCTCTCTCTCTCTCTCTCTCTCTCTCTCTCTTTCTCTTCTAGTGGGTGGGTGTGGAGGGCAATGCACCATCCCAGTGGTGGGAGAGGGAGGGGGGGGGTTAGGAATTTAATAAACCTGAGGTTAGTACACACTACATACTGCACACTTAAAGAAAACGAATAAGCAAGTTCAAAAAGTTGACACAGATCAGTAAAGTGGCTCCTTATGGTCACAACTCAGAAGAATGCATGAAGTAACCCTGTTAACTGTTGAACACTGTACTATTTTCTGGCAGTTATCTTTCTGCTGTATATCTAACATTAAGCAACAATGCTTAAGTAACATCTTGTTATAAGGGGTCAAAGTTACCACAACTTACTAGTTTTGCTGAGCCTTGACCATTTATGGGATTGGTTACACATGGAGATCATGCCTAAAGGACTGGAAATTTCTACTTCCTTATTTGTACATCAGGATGATCGTTAAATTAGAATGAATATGACTCCAATGATCAAAATGCCTGTTATTTTTCTTGACGGATTGATAATCTAAATTTCTTTGGTCATATGAAAAGACTGGATGAATACTTACTGAATGGATGTTTAATGCATAAACAATGCTTCAGTGTCTAAAATTAGAAGTCTTCTGATATTTGAAGTCAGATAGCTGCTTCTGAATCAAAATATTAACTATAAAACAATTGGAACAAGGTCTTGATCACAACAGTGAAGGATGAAGAGGATAATATTCCTTCACGTAGAGCGGAGTGGCGTGTCGGAAAACTAAAAGGACCAAAATTGATGACTCGATGTTTGTGGACATACAAAGATGCTTTAAAATCCTTAATTTGTGTACAAACTGTCTAAAATAACTTGTTTCAGTTAGAACCTTGGAGGGCAGCTGAAATACTGAAACGTGATCACATCTTCATTTTATGCATGGCCTATATTCTTATTTGTATAAAGTTTGCACGATGAAATACCACCTAACAGGAAAGGGATTTGGAAAAGTTACATAATTTAAGGGACAATTATATCTTTTATTTACTTCGGTTAGTTTTTTGTGCATACATGATCATTCTTTCAATTTTCTTTTTACTTGGTGCAGGATTATAGAACCTCTTGCTTCTAGATGTGCCAAGTTCAGGTTTAAGCCACTCTCTGAGGATATCATGAGCACTCGTATACTACATATCTCCAAAATGGAAGGCCTAAACCTGGACTCAGAGGTGGCAATTTTGTTCACTATGCATGTTTCCACTTTTTTTGCCTGCTGGTAAAGGTGGCTTTTGAATTACTATATGTTGTAATTGGTATATGATTGTGGTTGGTTATAGGCTCTATCAACCTTAAGTTCCATATCTCAAGGAGATCTTCGTCGTGCTATAACTTTCTTGCAGGTAATAAAAATTACAACTTTTTTACTACTTTCTGTTTCCTGTTGTAGCCACCTCAAATGTGTCTCATGGCCTACACTGCTCATTCCTTTCTTTTTATATTGATTACTTCTGGTTTGTCTTGTGTTTTTATTTCAATTGTAGAATAAAACATCTTTCTCTTTATAGTATATTGTTTACATTCTCTTCTTTTCTTGCCCAAACCCAGCCAAAGGCTTCTACTCTATTACATTCTCGAATCTCATGGGCATGTTACTAGAATAATTCATGCATCAAGAACATAAATAAATAGCCTGTACTCCTCAAAATTGGTCTGGTCTCAAATCAGCACATCAAAATAATTTCAAACCTTATGGAAGAGAAATATTGTAAATATAAAAGCAATATGTAACTAGACCTAATAACATCCTAATAAATCATATATCACACTCCTAGAATTTTCTTGAACGTCGTAACAACTTTTGTGCTCATCCCAAGCTAATCAATCCTGATTACCTATATGCAAGAATAAAAGTAGCCGACTGTTCGCAAAAGGCGAGCTTGGAAAGATGAAAATAATACTCACCTCAACACCCAGTTTATACTAGATTTATTATGAGTAATTTCCCAAACTGCCCTCTAACAGGACAAACACCCATTAGAGGGCAAGGCAAAGATCTTTGGTTACATTGTTTGTTGCTATAATGGGTGTTTGTCCTTGGTTGATTAATGAATCTTATAGAGCGTCGTTGACAGTGTAGTTCCGTTGACCTCTGGTCTGATGCCTCAAGTTAATTGCCTTGGTCAATTGTCTCGTCTGTTATTACATCAGTCTCGTGTTTTTATCTCTCACAGGGAGCTGCTCGCCTATTTGGATCTTCAATTTCTTCCAAGGACTTGATAAGTGTTTCTGGGGTAACTAGACTCTTCTATTTGTGTCTGCGAAAGTTGATTTCTTAATTTTCTTACAAGCATTATCAAGAAACTCATGATTATCAAGAAAGACCTGATGCCACAGATGTTATGTTATCAGTTTGTTTGATGAGAATGATCCTGCATCGCTTGTTCAATATGCATATTCTTTTTATCAACTGCCTTTTTACCGTATGTAATTGGTTCTAAAACTAAAACAGGATTGAACTATATGATTCATTTCATAATTTTATAATCTGATTTGCTAAGGCCATGTTTGGCAACCGTAAACTAGCTTATTTTTGGAGCTTATTGAAAATGCCCTGTTTGGTTAGTGATAAACTAGCTTTTTGAAAAGCTACTTCAAGTAGTATTTGAATAAGCCTTAGGGGCTTTTCCCATTTCTTTACAATTATCCCCCTTATAAATGTCCAATTAATTTTTCAACATGTGTTTTCAGGTCATTTTAAATTCAGTAAGTTAACCACTAGTTTATTAGCCAACAACTAGCTTATTAGTTAGTTTGCCAAAGATAGCCTAAAGGCAAAGGATGATGTGATATGTATGACTGATGTTTTATTATGCTCAATTTCTTGCAAAATGAGGAGCACCTTTATTGTAATTGTTGACATAGAGTAACCCTTTTCTAATAATTTGTTGGATACTGTGATTTAAAATTCATATCAGGTCATCCCACATGAAGTTGTTGAAGCTCTTCTTGCAGCTTGTAAAAGTGGTTCATTCGACTCTGCAAACAAAGAAATCAATAATGCTATTGCAGAGGGGTATCCAGTCAGTCAGATGCTTTCTCAGGTAATGGTTGTCCATAATCTATCTAACTATGTCAAACAGTGTCTAAAATACTGAAATAATGCCCACTGCAGTTGTTTGATATGGTGGTTGAATCTATTGATTTTTCTGATGAACAAAAAGCAAGAATATGCAGGAAACTGGGTGAATCCGATAAGGTATCTTTTTCCCTTTTTTTGTTTTAAATAAATACCCAGGACTTGAACATCTAATTGTGACTCCCTCCTAACACATTTATATTGTAATTATCCTTTTCAAAATCATCCTTTTTAACAAATACAACTCATGGTACCATCTATTTTTTACTACCTTCTGCCACAATCATCAGACATAAAAACATCTATAGGGAAGGGGCTGTTTGGTTGGTTTTCCATTACATCTTGTATGGATAAATCTGACTGGATTAATCATTCTGTGTAGGTTGGGAGGGTTTTTTTTTCATCACTTTCTATATCATTAAGCCACTACCAAATAGTGATGTGTAGCTGACCGAATAAGTTATGAGTTGCATTAAGCTCATTAACCTGCTAATAACCCGACCCTAAGCATGCCATTTAGAACACCTTCATAATTTCTTATCTAAGGGGCATGAAAATTGATAATTACAAATGATTCCAGGAGAAGGGGTGGTGAAGCGGGTCAAATATAAATTAAGTAGTAATATAAATTGCTTATTTGTATTAGAGAATAAATGATATAATAGATACTGCAAGTAGAAAATGGGTTGGTGTAAATTTTATAAAAAAAGTGCAACATTTGACTTGAGTTGATACGTGACATATTGTTTAATGTATTTTGACTAATAATCAAATATTAAAATGCCTAGTAACAAAACAATGTGAAAAGACAGAATTGCCTCTCATATGAGGGGCACGAGTGACGTTTTAAGTCTAGAGAACATGACTGTTATAAAAGGAAAAGTTAGGGACCATCGGTGTATTTAATGTGTTTGAGGGACTTCATCCAAATTTTGGGTAATCCATAGGGATCAAGAATGTGATCTACTCTATCTTGTAATGAACTAATGACAACCATTGGTTAACTGAAAAAAAAGGAAACCTTATATTTATTTTGGGATGACACAAATAGAAAGTGTTGCATTTATTTAGATTAGATCGAGGGAGTAATAAGATCCATATAACCTTTTTCAAAATGTATAAATATTGCTTTTGTCGTATAGCTCCGTTGGTAAAGTGGTGGTACACTTTGAATGAGTCAAAAAATGCCCCCACATATATGTTCTTGGAGATGGGTTTCGTATGGGACCGGTTGGAGTTGCTAGTAATTGACTTTTTGATCAAAAAAGTCAACCATGTGTATCTATCCATGTTTTTAAAGAGTATGAATACAAAGTTCTTACTTTGATTTTATTGGATTATTTAGTGTCTTGTTGATGGAGCAGATGAGTATTTACAACTGCTTGATGCATGCAGCTCTATGATGAAAGCATTTTGTAACATGCCAGAAGGATTTTCCAATGACATTTAACAATTGACATTACTATCTTGTCCTCTTTAGTTATACCATCTTTAGCGCATTGCTTGTTTCATGTATGGTGTTTGATGAAACAAATCAAATGATTGTTATGCTCTGTTTAATGTTTTCTATATTTGAGTGTGATATGTAAAAACTTAAGGGTTGTTTACCAAATATTTACCGGTAAAAATCATCAAACTCACTTGTCTTGGTGAGTAAGAGTATCTCTTAACACTTCCTCTAAAATGAGAAAATGAAGAAAATTGAGATTTTGAATCAATATTTTGCTCCAAAAGGTTTCTCAAACTATCTTCAAAATGAAGAAAGGAGAGAAAAGAGTTTTTTCTTCAAATGTGGAGATAACCCTAAAAATGATTACCAAATGAAACTATCAATAAAAAACTTTGAAAATAAATATTTAGAGAAAAAAATAATATTTTAATTGATGAATAAAATATTTTATTATTATAATCAATGTTAGGTTTTTTAAAATAGAGAATTTGTTGGAGATTAGTATAATTTTTTTAAAGATTTTGATTTTTAGTTCATTTTAATGAATATATTATAGATGCTATTACATATTTGATAATCATCTTTTGGTTATTTTGTTTATGTGGCCAATATGCTCTTTCAAATAATCTTCATTTCGGATGCTTGTGTCAGTGCTAGAATTGACTTGAGTTGACAGAAATATATAGCTTTAGTGGAATGCTAATGGCACCCCTAATAAGGGTGTTGAATGACTCGAAAATTATAATTGATATAAAATATATCAAATGTCAAAGTCAAACAATAATATATTATATTTTATTATTATTATTATTATTATTATTATATTATATATGTATATACATACACACACATATATATATATATGTTGTATATTATTATGATATTAAGTTATATTATGTAACTATTATATTATATTTTATATTAGCAGTAAGAAATCAAATCAGGTTTTCTCTATCGGTTGTCCACATACGAACACGCTTGGAACTCCCATCGGGTGCTAGCCCAAAGAATTAGGTTTCCTCTATCATAAGGGTTTTGATGCTACAACTAGTTATCAGAACTCAATCCTCTACTTTGGTTTAGCCCCTAAACGTTATTTATATGGTCAGTTTTCGAGATTGACCATAACTCTTAATAAGGCTTAGTCATTATCTAAAATGATTATTTATTTATCTAATAATATCTTATATAATTATCTAAAAACATTTAAGATAATTACATACATGTTTATAGATTAAACCCTGTAATTATAATAATCACAAAACGGTACACATGTTTAGATTCTTTCTTTAGTGGAAGCATACGTGTTCTTTGTGTGCGACCCTTTAGGTTTACATTGCTCGTTGGCAGTGTATCTGGGTGACACGTGTCGTGGATATAACATACAACTTACATTCTCCCATTTACACATGACACACTGTAACACAGACAGTGGTAAGCGTCTAGCAACACGTCACTGCCCCCAACGCTATGTAAATGAGCTTTTCTTCTAGAAATTTGATTGATCTAATCAATCATATACTGGAGTCATTCATCATCCCTTTGCTTCACGATATTTGAATTGAACTTCTAAGGCATAGATCTTGCTCATCCTTTATAGTTCAAAATTCTATTTCTCGATCCTAACACTTCTTGATTGGACTGGTGCTATTGATTCAGCCAATACATCAGTCCATGACCATGTTAATCAAATTGTGTCATCGAGGGGTCCCAAAAATATCTCTCTCATCTTGAAAGGAGCAAATCCCATTTTGCATGTACACGACTTATACACTATCTATGTTATGCCCAACATAGTCCTTATGATCACCCGGTTAAGGGTAACTTTAAACTATATCAAAGCACAACACTTTTCATRCAYTGGGTACCAATGTACATMTCAKGTCTAARGATAAGAAAGTTTACTTATTTYAGGACTCACCTTATKACGTCGATCTATGAGGTGATCCTKACCGTGAGTCTTATCCAACACTTGTCCCCAACAAGTGCATGTGACTCTGGTTGCACTCATTGTRCTTCCAACTTGGATTATGACCAAACTTCACAATGACCTTGATTTATTACTAGTCCCCTAGTAATAATTGGTCAAGGACAATTCTAAATAATATGATCATCATTTTATTTAAGGATATTTAAACGTGCAAAAATTGAACACAATAATGTTTAATGTAAATACCCATATCTAATATGCCAAAACATATAAAACATAACTGTTTATCGTTCAAATAATTAAGTCTACTACTAAGATCTATTATACTAATGTATTACAGAACCTCAAGCCTATCGAACTAGTATGAGCATCATGCTTGTTTTGACTCAAAGGCTTAGTGAGAGGATCTACTGGATTTTCTTCTGATCGAACTTTGCATATCTTTACATCACCTCAATCAATAATTTCACGAATCAGGTGATTTCTTAGTATATGCTTAGAGCGCTGATGCGACCTTGGTTCTTTTGCTTGAGCTATGGCACCTTCGTTGTCGCAATAGATCTCGACAGGGTCACATATGCTAGGAACTACCCCAAGGTCAGAGATGAATTTCTTCATTCAAACAGCTTCCTTTGCGGCGTCTGACGCTGCAATGTACTCTGATTCTGTAGTTGAGTCTGGTATAGTGCTTTGTTTGTAGCTCTTCCAACTCACAACACCTCCGTTTAACACAAACACATATCCCGATTGTGATGTATCCTTGGATACACAAATCTCTTTCTTCACCTCCGTATAGTAAAAACATATCCTTAGTTTTTCTCAAGTATTTCAGGATATTCTTTACTGCTACCCAATGAGCATCACCTGGGTTTGACTGATATCTACTCGTCATGCTTAAAGCATATGATACGTCAGGTCTAGTACATAACATGGTATACATTATTGAACCGATGGCTGAAGCATAGGGGACACCCTTCATGCGGTTCATGTCCTATTTAGTACTAGGACATTGAGTTCTACTCAGTTGTATGTCTTGTACCATTGGCAAGTTTCCTCTCTTTGAACCCTCCATCTTGAAGCGTTTCAAGATTTTTTCAATGTATGTACTTTGGCTTAATCCAATTAAGTGCTTAGATCTATCACGATAGATCTTTATGCCAAGAATGTATGCTGCCTCTCCAAAATCCTTCATCGCGAAACATTTCCCTAACCATGTTCTTACTTCCTTAAGTGTTGGGATGTTGTTTCTGATGATTAGTATATCATCGACATATAGGATTAGGAATACTATTATGCTCCCACTGACCTTCTTGTATACAAAAGGTTCATCTTCGTTTTTTTATAAACCAAATTCCTTGATTTTCTCGTCAAAACGAAAGTTCCAACTATGAGATGCTTGCTTCAGTCCATATATAGACTTCTGCAATTTACATACCTTACCAGGATACTTTGGATGTTTAAAACCTTCTGGTTGTACCATTTACACGTCCTCGCTTAAGGATCCATTAAGGAATGCAGTTTTAACATTCATTTGCCATATCTCATAGTCATGATATACAGCTATGGCAAGTATGATCCTGATCGATTTTATCATAGCTACTGGAGAAAAGGTTTCATCATAATCTACTCCTTGAGTCTGTGTGAAACCTTTTGCTACCAACCAACCTTTATAGGTATGTACGATCCCATCCATGTCAGTTTTCTTTCTAAATACCCATTTGCATCCTACGATATTGCAACCGACAGGTGCATTTACCAAGTTCCAAACTTGGTTATCTGTCATGGATTGTAATTCGGCCTTCATGGCATCATGCCATTTATCATATTCCAAACCTGATACGGCTTCCTGGTAGGTAACTGGTTCATCAAGAACCATGTCATTTTCAATAAAATAACCATATCTTTCAGGCTCAAGACGGTTCCTACATGATTTTGGGATTATCTGTATCTCGTCATTTTCCTCTACAACTTGTAGAGGTTGATCATCTTGTTGTTGGTTAGGGTCAACCATTGTCTCATCTTGTGGTTCTTGAGTTTCCTCAAGATCTACTGTATTCCCCGTTGTGGTTCTTGATAGAAAATCATTTTCTAAGAACTCACCGCATCGCGCAACAAAGATTTTGTTCTCGCTGGGTTTGTAGAAATAATATCCAATAGTCTCTTTTGGATATCCCACAAAGATGCATTTTTCAGACCTCGGGTCAAGCTTTTTAGAAGCCTCTTGCTTAACATAAGCATTACAACCCCATATTCTCATATAAGACAATATTGGGATCTTGCCAGACCACAATTCATATGGAGTCTTTTCGATCCTTTTGGTTGGAGCATTATTTAGTATTCGGGCAACTGTTTCTAGGGCATATCCCCAGAAACTCTTTGGCAGAGTGGTATAACTCATCATAGAACGAACCATGTGCATCAAGGTTCTATTTCTCCTTTCGGACACACCATTATGTTGTGGTGTTCCTGGAGGAGATAGTTGGGATACTGTCCCATAATCTCTCAGATGTTCAATGTAACACCCCATTCYACACATTGCATGTAACATATACTTCATAACCAAGAAATACATGTTTGTACACCACAAAGGTCCCTTAGTACAAGAATCTACCAGAACAAAATACATGGTCCAAAAATTCAAAATACAATTCTTGCACTAATCTAGTTACATCTGCCAAAACTATACAAATCATCAGCCAATCTTCATATAGATAAACATATAGGGAAATTATTATATTTTTTTCTTTCCCTTACCATCAGCATTTTTTGCAATACATATTTGAAATCACAAAACGAGAGTTAGACCGAAAGGTCTAGTGAGTTACCCTATTTATGTCATTGCAGGGTGATAATCACCAAAACTTTTAAATAAAATAACTTTTCATATATATAACAAATATATGAACAAGTGATAACACAATATCAATACCTTTCACCTTTCAAGCCAATAATCTTTGCTTGTAAATAATACAGCAAATCCAGACAGGTTTATACTAACCAAATAACATAATGCCACTTTTAAACCTTTTTCCACTCAAACAAGGTTTATTCAAAGCTTCAGGCCAAACCTGTTATCTCCTTCTCTATAACATTCAAACTATGATTTCCAATAAGAACTCTGATCCTAAATCTTTAAGTCACAAAGAAATAAAGATTCCAGACCATGGTAATCTTAAAGGATATGATAGTAAAAGTTATATTATATAACACACACATACAATTGCCACCCTTA